GCCGACTGCAAGTTGTTTGCGTCGTTCATCTGGTGCCCTTAAAATCGCATTCGTTGTGTATGTTAGTCGAATAACCTTGAATTGAAGATTCGATGTGAGTTGTGAATCAATCGATTCCATGTGAGTTGTGCAGTAGAGCATACTATAGTAGTTTGGAACATTCTCCTGTGAGTTAATTGTGCTGGCTCAAATAATATGTTGCACAATGAACTACTACATTCATGTGCACCGGTACAGTAGCCATACCGGCGCTGTGGTCATCTGCAGTGTATGTACTTGTGCATTTGGCAGCAAACTGTGCAGCTAGTCGCTCAATTACTGCTTGTTCCTCAACATCTAACACATACTAGTATGTACCCACTACAAACCCAAGTATCACTTGGAGTGATTACGTATACTGAAATACTACGTAGTACTTATTTTTAATTTGTTAATCTGGTGCGTTACTTATCAATTCTGAGGAAAGATCAGAAACTCTGTCATTTCGGAAAAATGCTTTTCTTTGAATTGAAGGAACATACCAATAGGTCCCCAAGTCAAAAACGCCAGTACTTACAATAGGCCTCCGAATCAAGTAGTGATTTCCCGCTTAACTGTAAATAGTAAGATATATCGAATTAAACGGTGGGAATATTGGAAATAGAAGAGTTCTTGATCAAATCCCAATAACCATCGCAATGACTGACTATTAAGAGAATAGATCGATATATCGCAAATAGATTGAGTTCATCGGTAAATGACTCCCAATATACAGGTCTTTCAATAACTACTCACTGTCAGTTATAGAAGGATATATGAGTCGCTGTGTGGGTCTATTTTCTATTGCCCCCCCACCAATTTTTCCGCGCCATTGCGAGTTAGCCCCACTTCACAAACACATCACAATCGAATTTATCATAAGGAAGGTTCTCTAGGTTAACTCTATGCTTGAGCGCTTGCACGTGCAAAGTGTCTCTGACGAGCTGTACCAGGACGAGAGTCATGACGACTACGGCGAAGTCGCCGCCGAGGAGAACGACACGCTGACCTACAGCAATCCGGTGATTGATATGGTCATCGAGGACAGCGGCGTCGAGGGGTTCCGTTCGCCCACCAACTTCACTGCCGACGAGTTCGAGACGATCTGGAGTGTCGACGAGTTATCTCCTTAAGCTCGATGGAACGACGACAGGGGACGGAAGCCAACATCCACGCCAAAGGATGCACTCTTCATGGTCCTGGTCATCTTAAAGTACTACCAAACCTGGCAGAAGCATGCACTCGTCTTTGACCTTAAACTCACGAGAAGATGATATTGCGAGTTATCGACGTTACAGTGCTGGGCGTAAAAGTTCGCGGACTGTTGCACATAGCAATAATAAAAAATTTCATTTTGTCCCGAAGTAGTGCTGGCAATATGATTGGACAAAAACAATGTAATTCATCCATGTCGATAAAACACGTGGCATACTTTAAGCTCGCTGTGATTGGTTAATTTGAATTTGGATTTCAAATTTGCATCGACATCACTTCATCTCAAAGTCCAAAATGACTTCGGTCAAACCAAAGAAGCAGTATCGCCGGTACACAAACCGCGACCGCAAGTGCCTCTTAGCCCACTTTCATGCCTCACCACTACAGGACGAAGCTAAGTTCTGCGCCGACATGCAAATCGCACGCTCCACTTGGCGTGGTTGGCGCAACAATGAGCAAGCTATCCTTCGCAGCAAACGGCATGGTTCCAAGGGCTCTCTAAGAGGTCAGGGACGCAAAACCATCATTCCCTTCAAGGATGCACTCCTTGCCTACATCGACGAGTGCCGAGACGAAGAAAAGTTTGTCCACATGATGCGGTGGATCCGCCGCAACCAACACGAATGGCTGACACACGTACCTGAGCACCAAGAAGAACGCCTCGACCGGCTACGACTCTCTGTGCTGCCTTCTGCGTCGGTTTTGCACGCGAGAACGACTGTCCCAACGAGTCCCGTGCGTCAACAAGGTCCGCCAAAAAATACTTGACGACGTTTGGCTGGGGTATGCCGCGCATTTTTGGAGCAAGTACCATGATGTTCCGCGCTCCCAAATCCTGAACGCTGACGAGACCGGTGTCTTTTTTGACATGCCACCTGGCAAAACCTATGCACGAAAGGCGAAATCGTCGAAGGTCGAAGGTTGGTAAGTCATGCAAGCATTCTGAACGCATCACAGTGGTCCTTACAATCCGCGCCGACGGTAAGCTCTATTGAAAGTAAAATCTAATGCATGAATAGGTATAAAACCTACCAATGCTGTTCATCGTGAAGGGCCAGCCTGGTGGTCCAATTGAGAACAAGGAGCTACCCACCAACCCTGGCCCTCACCTGTATGTAGTACAGAAGAATGCGTGGATGGACGACCGAGTTTGGATGATGTATTTGGAGCAGGTGCTGGCGCAAAATATGGAAGATGTGTGAGTTCTGCTTGTTGACAACCTCGAGTGTCACACCTCCGAAAAGGCCAAAGACAAGGCCGCGGAAGCACTATTTAGTGTCATTGAACCGCTTCCTCCCAACTCGACAAGTCGCTGCCAGCCTCTAGACGTCGGTGTTAAGGGTCCCTTGAAGGCTATGCTAAAGTCTGAGTGGTTGATGGAAGAAGAAGAACGTGAGACAGACAACATGACTGCTGAGGACAAGAGAGCAGCAACAATCCAGCGCACTATTCGTGTTTGGGACAGAATTTCAAGTCGAACTGTAGAGAGTGCATTTGAAAAATCAATTCCAACAGTAATTGAAATATAGTTTCATGTAATACGAATATGATGGGCTTCGCTTGGCGTGTTGAAGTCGGTAGGAGGGTTCTCAGGGTAAACCCCCCTCCTGAGTTCGAAATTTGATTCAGGTAACGTTTGCTCAAAATTGCGACATGATGTGCGTAACGTTACAGTCAGGCATCATTCGTTGAAATTCCGATGGGTTTTATCCAATTGGATGTGTTCACTGAAATTTCCCTTTCGTTTGTTGAAACGAGTTTTATTATAATTGCATTCACTGGTATACTACTGTACATACAAGTTTCTATATATTTAAATCGTTGAAGCTGTGAACTTTTCCGCCCAGCACTGTATCTCTCCGATCCTCTACGTCCATGGAGTCCCTCCACGGCAACGGCACGACCCCACGACCGATGTCAAGTTCCAACCATCCTACCGACCGTCGGGTCGTTTGGGTGAGCAGTGGTATTACTTCAGTGGCAAACCTAAACTCTACGGACTCAAGATCGAAGCGTCCATGTTAGCGTAAGGTTAGCTGACCGACATGAGTCCTCACTAACGTGAGGATAATACTACTCTGATCCTAAAAGGTTGTCACCTTCCTCTTTGGATTGGCAGAAGTTTTTCTAATTTGGTGCCGTTTTCTTGTCGGATTGAAGCATGCGAAAGCGCAGGATCTCTACTTTGATTGGGTAGTTTCTGGGACTTCTAAGACACATTTGCTGTTGAGATATGGCTCCACAAAATTGACCGGTCATGGTTGACCAACAGTCGATCACCCGCTAGTAGGCCATAGTGCATTCTTGCACCTTCAACCCACTGCGTGCATACACTTACGAACTCTGCATACTTCTCGATCACGCCAAACATCCAGCCACACCTCCCAGTACCGAACCGCGGCACTCAGACGGCCCCAACCACCTTCGACTGGAGGACCGTCACAGAGTGTACGAAACGCTGCTAATCGTTGCTCACGGTGATGTCCTCCCTCGTGGAGCGATAACAAAGGCGGCACAACGGTTTCGTTGCCATCGGCGAACGATTTCACGTCTCTGGAACCCCGCGCGGCAGTCTCTCTGCAGTGGCCGTCCTGATGCTGATGTTGCGACCAAAGTTCGTGGTAATTCCCCACCTATTAATATAAATATCACTTATGACAATTATAAAGTTTTAAAGGCATACTACTCTGGTCAATAATTTTTGCAGCACTTGACTTCAGATTGGACTAAATTTTACATTTCTCCTCGTAATCGCAATTGGATTTGCTCATTCGATAGATACACATCCCAGCTTTGATTTGATACCTCAAGTTCCGGAAAAGTCAAAGTAGTTAGTGCGTCATGACCCCTAAACTTTGTGACCTTATTTTTCAAACCAGAAAATCTTACGGTGCACAGTCGATAGTGATTGTATTTTTGTAAGCTTAAGACAGTATGCTCGTGTGATGTCCTTACCTCTCCCTATCCAGTCGCAGCTCGTCTAGGCATCCAGATGTGCTCGTGAGGTCACTCCAAGTTTGTGATTCGAGTGGAGCGCTGTATTCTCAGCATTTGAGCGTATTAAGTGCCAATCATTAGCTTCCCATGTTACCAGACATCAACTTGACCCCTAGTAAGGTCGCCACCGTCTTGCCATGGCTTGAACATGCTAACTCGTCCTGCAAAGGTGTCGACAAGGCATCCAAGAGTTGCTGGTTTTTCATCCTTAATATTTAGGATTTATTCTATTATACTACTCTGGTCCACTAAAAGAGTCCGGTTTGCACTTGGATTGGCGGAATTTTTCTAATATTGCGTTTCATTGCAATATGATTGGCTTACCAAAAAGCGCGAAATTTCCTCTTTGATTGGCTCATTTGAGCGCTTTCCAGATCGTTATGCCTCAAACGTTACAGCGGGAAAAAAAAAGTGCTCATTCACGCTACACGATCATAGACCCGCTGATAAGCCAAAATTCAATTTTACACCTCATGCTCAATACACTTCTTGCTCCCGTCGTCTTCGTCGTCTCGCCTGTACCAATGCCAAGTCCTGCAACCCCCCACCAGCCAAACCACGACAAGCGCAAGCTCTCCGACCTTGAGCGTCGCGCCATCTATGAGACGCTCCTTGGGCGCAGCAACAACGGCCGCATCGCCCATGGAGAGTACACCACGACCACCGCCACCTTCCAGTGCCATTGGAAGACGGTCGCACGCATATGGAAGCGTGGACAAGAGTCGCTCCGCAATGGCAGCGTTGATGCCGTTGTCATCGCACGTTTCAAAGGTAAAACCTCTCGATTTCAATATTTTTACGTTTTGGTATTAATTTGTACAAATATCGATTTTAACAATTGTACTATGATAGGGAATTCGGGCCCAAAAGTGCAACGCAGCCCAAGCGACATCAGGGCTGCCGTCAAGGCTGTTCCATTGGTGGCCCGCCAGATTCTACGTTCCGTTGCGGAGCACTCGGGTGCCCCCAAGACCACGCTCGTACGACACATGGCCGAAGAAGACCAACTGAAGAGCAAGTCAAGTTACTCGAAGCCGTTTTTCACAGAAGACAACGAAAGAAGCCGCGTGAAGCATGCAATGTCTTTTCTTTTTCAGTCGTCGAAGAAAATTACTTTTTCCAATATGCACAATTTTGTGCATGTTGATGAAAAGTGGTTTTTTTTAACGACTGTAAAGAAAAGATATTATGCATATGAAGATGAAGTCCTCCCCTCAAGATA